TTTGAAGAAAATATGAGCACCTCNGCTCCTGATGAAGTTTATTTAATGGCCAAGGTTGTTGTTGTATTTGGGATTGCAGGAGCTTGTCGAATTTGTGAAATCAGCCAGGTAAGATTAGATGATATTGAAGATTCGGGAACGCTATTAATTGTGAAACTTAAGCAAACAAAGAATGATGTAAACAGGAGATTTGTAGTTACTGAAGAATATGTTAAATTTTACCGAATATACCTTCCCTTCTTCCAGCAGCAGCAAAAGATCGTCGCCTGTTTTATGCATATCGCAATGGGAAATGTATCAATCAGGTTGTGGGCAAAAATCAGTATTATAAGGTACCTGAAACAGTAGCTAATTTTCTTCAACTTGACAATTCTAACTCATATACAGGTCATTAATTTCGGAGATCGTCTGCTACATTTTTAGTTGAATCTGGGGGAGACTTGATGACACTAAAGAAACATGGCGGTTGGAAGTCATCAACGGTCGCTGAAGGATATATTGATGAATCGGTAGCACACAGGACAGAAATAGCTAATAAAGTGTTTAGAACGTGTGGCAGTGCTGAAATAACATCCGATTTGCGACCAGTTGCATCAACGGCTGTTGTGTCCATGACAGAAAAAAATACACAAGAAAGTTCGACTGTTATACCGAATAGTTTAAGAAACATGTCATTTATGCAATGTACATTTAATAATTGTACTTTTGGTGTAAAGGAAATGTAACTTCTATAAAATAAAATATTCTAAAATGAAATATCCACCTTTACTTATGTATATTGTATATATCCGGGAAAAAAGTACTCACTTTTTTCCCGGGGAAAACAGCAATTTCATAAAAAGTGACATTTTGTTACCTGTCAACAGAGATAAAATGTCAAACTTTTTTCCCGTTAAGGCCCCCACAGACACACGTTCTTTTTGGCAGTTTTATCTGTACGGGTAAAACTGCCGGTGTGTGGCTAAAAACCGTCGTTCTTCCCCGCGTTTAAAAATATCTGTCCCAGCTTGATTAAAACCGTCCGTTTTGAACGTGTTCGTTCAAGTCGGTACGTGTGTGTACGTGTACGTGTACGTCGGACGTTCTTTTTTCAGTGAAGTGCTAGAAGTCTTTTGCATTGCATTTTTTGAATTTTGCGACTTGACTTTCGGTCTTTTTTTAGGTCTTCGTAACTTCTGCCAGTAGCAAGAAATCTAAGTGTAGCGGTAAGACGCTCATGCGGTGTAATACTTTACCTCATTAAGGTATCTTGTTTTTGGATTAATGGTGTTACTAAAGTAAGCAGCTCTAAATAAGTTTCTTCATCCATTCGCAAATAATTAAACCAATCTCCCGACTCTAGTCGTAATTCATGCAAAAGATTTACGTGTGAAAATTGTTTTCTTTTAAGTAACCATTCTTCAACGCATTTTGAACGTTCTTTTTGTTTTTTAGATTTAAATATTATAGCAATTGCCGCCGCCACTGCCAGTGTTGTCGTATATTCCATCACGGAACGGTTGATGTTAATGACACCACGATTTCAAAAAAAAACTGAACAAAAAACACGTCTAGTGTGTGGCTGTTACCGTTGTTCGTGTTTACCCGTAGAGATAAAACTGTACGGGTAAAACTGCCAAAAAGAACGTGTGTCTGTGGGGGCCTTAAAGGCTGGCCACTGATAGTTTCAGATATGTGGTTATTTTTTGGAACTCTCTTTCGTTATCTGAAATTGCTTAACATTTTTCTATTTGGAGTTTAGTTCTGGGGGAAAATGCTATGGTCTAAAAACAATTGAATAATGTTACAAGAATCTACTGTTCCATCCTGGTGCTTTTCTATGGTTGACCCCAAAAATAGAAGTCCAACAGAATTTTTCGCCAGATCCATACATTTGGATACTTATTATTAAGGTACTCCTAAACAGTTAGATTAAAATTGAGGAGGCACCCCATCACTCATAAGGATCGTCACGTTATCAAAGTCAAACCTTCCAGGAGATCAGAATAATTAATAATAAAATAGTGATAGCGATCATCAGTTAATTTTGAAGAAAATATGAGCACCTCCAGTTTCAAGGAAATGCTGCAATGTTTTTAAAACTGTTGATTTAGAAATACGTCCCCGATCGGGGTGCAGTTCATGAAAAATATCCACTACTTCGTCACAACTTCGTCTTCTATCACCATATCCTATCATCATTAAAACTTCAAAACGCTCGGTTTCACTTAACTGTGCCATTTTTCCGAGAAAATTATTCATACTAAATGTATGTAATTTTGACATGTATTGTCACTATTAGAAAAAAGAAGGACCCGGCGTTGTTATGGAGTTAGAAACTTTCAAAAGTAATTTGATGGACTATAAACTTAGTGGACTAAATTTATGAGAAACTGATTTTCAGAGTTCAATATCTCGAAAACGGTAAAGTTTAGTTACATGATGTGCTATATGGATTTTGTTTAGAATTTCGAGAAGGTTTGAAATATGGAATAATACACAGGGTGTTCCATTAAAGAATAAACAACTTTGTTTCGTCAGGAGTATCGTCATGACTTTTTGACTGATTCTTTATACTTAATTTTTCTTTATTGTAATATACAGGGGGTCCCGAAGTAAGGGGGCTATATTTCTTCAGGGTGTTCTATGTCAAAAATATTACTTTTTCTTTATATAAATGTGGGTCCAAAAATTCTTCCTAATGAAGTTATAGCCACTCGTGATGGTTTTTTCTAAATGACTCCGAAAAGAGTTGAGATAAATTTATGAAATTTGGTAACTAGCTCAATTCGTACGTGAAGAAGAATTATTAAAAAGGTACTCTTGGTCCATATTGGTAGAATGTTCCATTTTTGTGTAAAATCTGTTTAAAAATAATGTTACATGTGTACATCACATGTAACAAAACATTTTTCCAAAAATGGAACATTTTACCAATCTGAACCAAGAGTACTGTTTTTTACTAAAAAACTCTGAAATTTCATACTTTTCAGTCAAAAGTAAAAAAAGTCAAAGCATAAAAAGTTATCGTAAATTTTACCCCCCTCCCCACCAGTATTATAACGTATGTGACAAAAATTTGTAAATTTCGTTTTAATAGCGAACTGAGCACGTAAGAGCTACGCTAATTACGAAATTGCATAAATTTATCTCAGCTGACTTCGGAATTATTTAGAAAAAACCATCATCAGAGTGACCCCTTTAAGTGGCTATAACTTCCTTAGGAAGAATTTTTGGACCCACGTTTATCTAAAGAAAAAGTAATATTTTTCGACATAGAACACCCTGTAGAAATATTGCCCCCTAATTTC